CAGCAGTGTGAACAAATTTAAAATCATTTGTATTCTTTTTCTAGCTACAACGACGAGTACTACATCAACAACAGGTATTGATTGTTAGGATCAGAGGAGTGCAGACTTTATTCTATTTTGAGATACGACAAATAATTTGACTTTAGCGTCAACGACCACTAGTACTACAACAACATCCAGAAGTATGCATGATTAAAATACCTTCATGTTCTTTCACATTAACATTAAATTAGTTCTTTTAACAATATCGGTTGTATGACATAACATAATACTCTTAAGACAGCAGATTTCATTTGTCTTTGATCTCACGATCAGTCACACCAACTACCTTAGAAAAAAAGCACAATACTAACAAGTAGGTTTAACAAAGTGTGACTTCAATGTATTAAGGGCTTATGTTTTCTCAAATATTTTGTAACTAACGCACCACATTATATTTGATGCACATCCTCCAAGTTTCTAAATGACTAATCTGACCGACCGTTTTTGAGAAGAATCCTGATCAAAGATGTATATTTTCAATAATCCTACCCGCTTCTGAGTCATGTAAACTCAAAACCAGACTAGCTATAGAACTGATTCTTTCTCTATTATAACCGATACGGGTTTAAGTTTCATTGAAACTTTAGCGTGTGGCGCTTCTTTTTGTCACATACACGAACATCTGTTTGACATCTGGACACGTATACGCGGCATACAGAAAAAGAACAATTTCTAGAAGAACAAAGTATTTTAAGCGTCAACAATATAATATTTCTTTACTTTTTTTGACCGCTTTTATCGATTTCAATTGATTTATTTTTCTTTTCAGCCACATCAACTACCTCCACAACGGCTACCACATCAACAAGTAATTTAAAGTCTCTGTCACATAGCGCTCTTGCGATACATGCTTTCAAAGTTGAAAAATTGTCACTACCTTACCTGCGGTTTTTATATCCAGATGTTTTCGCCACCTCTGCTAGACTAAACTGCATCCGCTCTAACATGTTAAGAGGATCCAGCAGTGTGAACAAATTTAAAATCATTTGTATTCTTTTTCTAGCTACAACGACGAGTACTACATCAACAACAGGTATTGATTGTTAGGATCAGAGGAGTGCAGACTTTATTCTATTTTGAGATACGACAAATAATTTGACTTTAGCGTCAACGACCACTAGTACTACAACAACATCCAGAAGTATGCATGATTAAAATACCTTCATGTTCTTTCACATTAACATTAAATTAGTTCTTTTAACAATATCGGTTGTATGACATAACATAATACTCTTAAGACAGCAGATTTCATTTGTCTTTGATCTCACGATCAGTCACACCAACTACCTTAGAAAAAAAGCACAATACTAACAAGTAGGTTTAACAAAGTGTGACTTCAATGTATTAAGGGCTTATGTTTTCTCAAATATTTTGTAACTAACGCACCACATTATATTTGATGCACATCCTCCAAGTTTCTAAATGACTAATCTGACCGACCGTTTTACGTTTTAAATACCTTCATGTTTTTTCAGATTAACATTAAATTAGTTCTTTTAACAATATCGGTTGTATGACATAACATAATACTCTTAAGGGCGGGGCCCCTAAGCATATCTTCAGATTTTGTCAGTTTGTAGAGAACGCCTCCAAGGATCTGGGATTACAATAACTCGCCGGTTGGTTAAGCTTTAATGGAGTTGTGAAACTTTCAAAATTACCAAAGTCGATTTTCTCGGCTATTTTGCATCTAGTGCAAAAAGTATTTCTTGTGCAACCCGCCACCTCAGTGAATACATTCCAAAAACATTCTGTTCATGGAAAGTTGTTCAGTATACTCGCCTCTATGGGATAAGATATTGTGGTTTTAGATTGGTGCCATTATTCTGAATTTATAGGCCCAACAAGAGGCCTGAACCTGAAACTCATCATACTCAGAAAACTATCCTTTTCAGTAAAACTGTAGTTATAAACTTATACCTGATTATTTTTCAATGAAAGTTTGTATATAGAAGTGAATATATGTCAAGAATATACTGACCGAGAGATGTAAAGGGTCAAGGGATGTCATATATATATTATCTGTCCAATTGAAGAGTGGCTATGGTCATTTTTTTAATAAATTTTAACGGAACAAGATGAAGACCTGCGGTTTCCACTGTCTTGTAGCCAGGATCCTGACAGCATCTTCCTATGCATAAATCAATTCTACGAATGAGATCTGCCACGGTGTACCTGTTCTGGAAAACTAATGGGCGGCAATAGTTAGAAACTTGAAACAAAAACGAAAAAGTGCTCCATTGAGTTTCCAATCAGTTATGAAAATTTGAAGCCTTAGTGAGTTTTAGTTTTTATTTCAAAGCATTTCTACGGAAAACCAAAATGAGGGGAGGGGTACCCTTAAGACATCGGATTTCATTTGTCTTTGCAGTCGCATCAATTACCTTAGAAAAAAAACACAATACTAACAAGCAGGTTTACTTTACAATGCTTTACAAAGAGTGACTTCAATATATCAACGGCTTATGTTTTCTCAAGTATTTTGTTACTGTAGCCAACACACTACATTATGTTTGATGCACATCCTCATAGTTTATTTCTGAGTGCATCTTGCAGAAGAGACACGATTGTACGCTTACTCGGAGATAAGAATTTTTAAAGAATTTTAGAAGAAAAGTTCTAAGAAAATGATGTTCGAAGAGAATGCAGCAGTGTGAACAAATTTAAAATCATTTGTATTCTTTTTCTAGCTACAACGACGAGTACTACATCAACAACAGGTATTGATTGTTAGGATCAGAGGAGTGCAGACTTTATTCTATTTTGAGATACGACAAATAATTTGACTTTAGCGTGTTATTTTAGCAACAACGGCTACTACAGCAACTAGTACGACCAGTACAAGTTCTTCAACTACAACATCCACAAGTAATTTGAATAAGTTTTTGTTTAATTTAATCTCCAGTTTTTACTGTTGCCAAAGTGTTTTGAAAAGTTCATCCGTTGGAGATATGATATATGGTACTTGCATTGAAATTAGTAGCCAGTGTTCTTAAATGATGTTTTAAACTATCTTTCGAATTGTTTTAGCGACAACTACATCTACGACACGTACGACCACGTCTACAAGTAAGGAACTCGCTTTTTTTGTCAGTTTGTCGATTGTAATTGTGCATAGAACATATTTAATGATTCACAATGAGCTTTTTCGTTGTACAGCTGCAACAACAGTGGTAACAACAACAACAGTGGCAACAACAACAGTGAGAACAACAACGATATATGTGCCTCCGGGTGAGTAATGATTCTTGAACTTATTAGGATAATCTCATTTTAGACATTGGGATACTGATAGTTTTTCACTCCATTTTCACAGGAGTGTAGATTTTAGTTTTCTCCTTGGGACGAATATATCAGATATTGTGCAACAGTGCTTCCGTTAGCTTTGAAGCTTAACAAAGTGTGCAGGGATTTATAACACTATATGTTCGAAAACGGTAAATGTGTTTCGCTTCGAACTGTTTTGGTTAACTTTGAGTGTCTGCAGATGAAAATACGATATATAAAGTAGAGTGGTGAGAACGAGTGTTTGACTCGAACGAGAAAACACAGTGTGGACAGAAGAATTTTTCTCGGTGAAAAGCAATAGGTCTCCTTGAGTTTCACCCAGTCGACTTAAACATAGAAGAATATTGCTAGGCAATGGTCGAAACTAAACAGAATAAGTCTCCTCGAGTTTCACTCAGTCGAGCAAAGATCATTTCTTGATGAATATAGACACTCAATATAGTTGATATCCGGAACAGCAGGGACACTTTGTATGAAAGAGTAATGTATGCTCTTCTACACTGTGAAAGAAAAAAAGAATGACTAAACTAGAAGTCGAATTTCGGGCGTTAGCTTATCATTTCGATGTTCTAACCACTGAGCTAGCTGATCCAGTTACTATCCGTTACTATACACAACAAATTTTCCAATACAGCATCGTCTTAGAGGTAGCCAGACATTGTCCGTAGTTCTCTTGCCAGATGTCAAGGAAAGTTAGTTTTTTTCATTTCAGTAAAATCTCGTCGCGACTCTAGTGAGCTTTAACTCGCTCCTATTGTTCTGATCTCCGATATTCATTGACAAGTTTTTGAGTACTCCGAGGACTTTACTTGGAGTCTCTGTGAGCGCATAAGAACATTGATCACAGCGTTATTGTCACATGATTCTGTTTGAGAAATTAGAAAGATTGTACTATAGGTAATAATCACAGACGCGTGATCTTCAGCTGTTTATGAGCGTGTTAAGTATTTGCTATGCAAAGCAAATATGTTTAAAATTAAAAATGTGTGGAAATGACCTCACTTGACTCTACGTTCAAAGAAAATCGACAATAAAATCATTTTTCAACCCACAAAATTCAAAATTTTTATTTTGCAGACATAGTATAAATAATATTCTAAACAAAGGACCCTGGCGGATCTGGTGGGGGGGGGGCGGCCGGGGGCGGGGGGGGGGGGTGGGTGGGGGGG